TTATACTTAGCACAGGAGGAAAGCGACAGTTCAAGGCAGAGAAATGGAAAAGCATAGAAAGCAGTGACTATAATGTATATACAGAGTCCGCTTTCTGTGATCTCGGCTGCACATCATCGAGCTTTCGGTGCATCAATATGAATACCGAGTGCAGTTTGTTTTGCTGTTCTCTTTCATGTCAATAGCTCTTTTGCACCAGAATGTTAAAACCCAGCTGCAGACAAAACTTTTTGGATAGGGTAGGGAAAGGATAGAACCTCGGTCAGATTTTTTATTGTCTGTTTGCTACTCAGCCAGTGTGATAGCATCAAGATAGTATCTATTAGGCTACCTGATTGAACCTCTACTGACTTTCCATTAAATCATCCACAGAAGCCTTGAGGAATGGGTTGCTTTTCAATTCCTGAAACTCCAAAAACACTTTGTTTTTTCACGATCTTTAACGGTGCTCCTCATCTACCTTCAACACATTTCAAGGTCTTAGAAAAGCCCACTAAACAAGATTCATATTGCCATCTGTGTACCTAGAGGGATATTTTCTTTCAGAAAATGATGGGCCATCTCTCAATTGGGACACAGACCAAACCAAAAACATATTTAGTAAAGTGAGGAAAGGTCAGAAAGTCTTAGTGTTTTTTTATTGTTGTCCGTGCCTTTCTGTACCTTTCAACTCATTTCTTGTACAGGTGTTACACGTGAATCTACCCATCTCCTCCATAATATAAAATATAAATTATGGAGGAGATGGGTATTCTCCATAATATAAAATAAATATCCAGCAGGGATGGAGGGAACCCCTCATAATGGGCACAGCAGTTGTGCAAACACAGGAACTCAGTGCATAGATGGTGGGAACCCCTCATAATGGGCACAGCAGTTGTGCAGACACAGGAACTCAGTGCATGGATGGAGGGAACCCCTCATAATGGGCACAGCAGTTGTGCAAACACAGGAACTCAGTGCATGGATGGTGGGAACCCCTCATAATGGGCACAGCAGTTGTGCAGACACAGGAACTCAGTGCATGGATGGTGGGAACCCCTCATAATGGACACAGCAGGTGTGCAGACTTGGGAACTCAACACAGGGATGGTGGGAGTCACTCATATTAGGCATGGCAGGTGTGCAGAGATCTCATTATCAAAATCCAAAGTGTAGAAGAGACTCAATAACCCAAATTTAGAAGCTGTAGTCCTCACAGTGCTTTACCTGGATTGGTGGGTGCTGGAAGTAATTGCAATGGATAGATCAGTGTTACTGAGAAGTTGCAAGTTTACCAGAATTCCAAGTAAATACATAGCACATGTTTGTTGTGAAAAAAAGTCACTTAGAAGCATGCCAACATTCAGGGACTTTGTTGAGTCCCTTCTTTAAAGTGGTTGCAAAGGCTGAATGTGTTTTACTTTATGCATTCTATGCCTGAAGGTGAAAAACCTTCACTATTCAGCTCTCCCCCCACCCCCCTAATAGTTACCTGAGCCTGATCCCGATGCAGCGATGTGCATAAGAGCAACTGCTGTCCCAGCTCTCGGCCTCCTCATTGGCTCAGAGACAGCAGCGGGAGCCATCAGCTGTCAATCAGAATCAGTGAGGAGGGAGCGAGGGGCGGGGCAAAGCCCTGCTGTCTGTGTCTATGGACGCAGCCAGTAGGGCTCAGGAGCAAACCCACACAAATCCCCCCCTTAGCAAGCGGGTTCCTGGGGGGGAGTCTTGAAGGGGGGGAGGAGCCAGGAGCGCCGGAGGGGGATCCAAGAAGAGGATGATCGGGCCTGCTCTGTGGAAAACCATTTTTTTTTAAATTTAAAAATAGAGTCTTTATTATCATTTTAAGGCAACATAGTGCCTAGGTCACCAGCATGTCACCTTGAGGAAGGGACCCTGTGAGGTCCCAAAATGTTGGTATTCTTTGACTTATGTGATATCTGTTTTGTCTTTAAATATGTGTTACGCATTTATTTGAAATGCTGGGGACCTTGCATCTTCCCATTAGATAAAAAAAACTGTCAGGGGATTTAGTCCTGGTACACACCAGTGCGACTTCAGGTGCGACATGCGATTTACAAATCGCACCTAAAGTTGCATCTCATGTATTTCTATTCTTAATCAGTGCTATTTGAAGTAGCGCAATTTCAAAAATAGCTCCTGCACTACTTTTTTCCGATTTCATTGCAACTTGCACTGAGTTCTGTTAAATGAAGTTGCAAGCCGCAGTGAAATCGGAGGCACAAATCACACTGATCTGAAGCTTTGACATTGTGCTACTTCAAGTGAGGTAGCGCAATTTCAAAGTCGCATTCAGTGTGAACCAGGGCTTAGGGACTAGACACTGGCATGGTCACCAGGTGAAAATAAAGGGGAAAAAACCTCAAAAAGATTTCAAATGCAGCAATCACATCTAAGCATTGGTAAGCTGCAATATACGAAATGATTGTTCTTGGGTTTTTCTACACTTTGGGGTCAATTTATGAAGCAATTTATTCTGACTTTCATCAAGCATTTACTGCAGGTTAATCTTCCTGATGCATGTGTTTTAAATGACCGTGATTGATTACCACTAGTAAATGTTCAATAAAAGTCACATTTGCTGCTTTATAAATATACCGCATTAGTATGTTGCAACACTTGCACCCTGGTGTCAGAGGCAATGTACATGTAGCACACAGTATCTTCATTTCTGTACTTGTACTTTTACCCTCATGTGTTAAATATTAATAACTCCTCTACAGCCCCAAGGAAGCTGATTTAGGTTTACTGGTCCTTTTATCTAAAAAGTGGCTCCCCTAACTAATCCTAGCCCTCCTTCCTTTCCAAAGCAATCTGCAAAGTTAAAAAAATGCAACGTGCCATTTTCGGGTGGCAGGATAATTGGGCGATTTTAGAGTGTCAGGCGTTGCAGCATCAGGGGTTAAGTGGTTGGGGGGAACTCCGCTCACAGTAACACAGGCTGTGCCAGCTCGGCTGCCTCTGAGGCTGAATCAGCTGGGGAATCACACAGCCTGTGTCTTCCAGGGCGTCTTGAGTGCTGGAGCGTGATGTCTCTGCTAAAAATGGGAGATGACTCACGGCTGAGTCAACAGCGAAGGTGTTTGTGGAAGCGAGAGGCTTCACAGGGGTCTGCAATATGAGCAGAGGCATTACTGTGCCCGTGCGCTGCAACACCCGCTGCTTGCTAAAACACCCCCTCCCCTGACCGCTAAAGGCAATAATAGCACACGTCATCCCTCCACATCTCAGACTCTGAGGACCATATGCTTGTTTTATGTTTAAATGTATTTAACAATTTTTTAAAGCCTCCCCAGTTTGACCTTATACGACAGTGATCAAATGGCTGACGTGTGTTTTGCAGCCCCAAGGTCCTGGGTCAGGACAGGGGTAGAGACGAAATGTCTCGAGTGTGCAGGATAGCTCAAGTCAGTCTGTATATTTGCCTGATATGGCACAAATACATCAGATGTCTTTGATAATCACACAGTGAGATCTCCCTGCCATAATTCCAAGCTATGCTCCTGTCTACCTGGGAGTTTTGGGTGTCCCTCCCCAACTTTGTGTGCTCCAGCTTCTCATATTACATTCTCCATAATATAAAATAAATAAAATTCCATCAGGGATGGTGGGAGCCCCTCATAATGGGCACTGCAGGAGCCCAATTGCATGGAGGTGCAGACATCAAAACAAAAAGTCTAGCCAGGGAATGAAAATATGAATATTTGATATTTGCTACATTTTCTAATTTGCAACATCCTTCTGATATGTACAGAATATCCTGATATTATCTTGTGCCCTGTACTGTATATAGTATATGCAGAGATAAGAGCTGTGGGAGGGACTCATCAGACCCCATCCACTTCAAGTTGCCTGCAGAAAACTACAGGAGGAGGCGGAGACAAGACCAGTCAGTGTGCACAAATAGAGATAGCAGCAATGGCCGGTCATTATTACAGGAAGTTTCTGCACAGAGGCAAAGTTTCACACTGGATTACTGCACAGATGTGAAAGAAAAACACAAAGTACACCAAGGAGGGGATTTACTAAAACTGGAGAGTGCAAAATCTGGTACAGCTTTGCTTAGAAACCAATCAGCTTCCAGGTTTTATTGTCAAAGTTTAAAGGATAAGTTCACCTTTTGACCAAAAATAATAAATACACAGGTGCAGGTAAAAAAATGTGCATCTGTTATTTTTAGTTGCAGGAGTCTGTAAAGCATTGCACCAGCGATTAGCAGATCACTGTTGCCATGCAGATCTCCTGCAAACCTGTGAGCCCTGGTTCACACTGATGCAGTGTGGCACATCGCATGTGATTCGCACAGGAACCACATTTCTGTGCAAATCACATGTGCTGTCTGTGCAGTGTGATTTGAGTCATACATTTTGTATGACTCCAATCGCATCGCATCAACACCAAAAAGGTGCAGGGCCCTTTTTTTTCCCGCACCTGATTCGTATCGCATGGGTGTTCACACACTTACAATGTGAATTCTGGTAATCGCACTGTGTTTTTCATGCAATTGCAATGCGGTGTGGGAAACGCACAGGATTCAGTATATCTGCTTGCCCGTACGGGATGTACAGGTAAGCAGATTCATTGACAGGAAGATTCAATGAACTTCCACGGCCCTCCGTGGTAGTTCATTTAGAACTACAAAGCGACAGGCTCGGTTCACATATGTGCGGGTGGTGCCGCTGCAGAACCCGCATAAATACCTGCAGCCGTACCACCCACACAGAGGAATGCGGGACCCACGGGCAGGCACCCTTAATTCTAATGGAATGCCACCTGCACTGGAAATTGCAACCGTACTGGGAACCGAGGTTCCTGTGTGGGCTGCGATTTCCGTAGAAGTGCAGGGACTTCTGCGTGCGTGTCCTGGAGCACGGGAGTCCATTCAAATAAAAACGAATGGAGCCAACCCAACTGTTTTGGTTTCAATAAGCTTCAAGTTGATGCCTTTTACATTGATATCTAGAGTTTACCATTCAGTATTTGTGTTCACTTTACAGAAGGAAGGTGAATTGCCCGTATCGAAGAGGAAATGGCAGGCAGGAGAGAAGATAATGTTCACGCTGGTGTCCGTACCGCACGGGAATGACATTGCATCACTCTTTGAGCTGGATGCCACAACTCTGCAGCGAGCTGACTGCTTGGTGCCCAGGTAAAGCCAGAGCGCACCAGATTTTTTTCCAAACCTTTTTTTATTTGTTTTTGATAGAGTGGAGAAGTTAAAACTTAGCACAGGTTTTTTTTTTTTTTTTTGCTGAGGTCTCTCTGAGGAGATCTCCCCTGATTTTCTGTCCTGGTGACATTGTTTCACCTGGACAGGAAGTAAGAGAAAATCTCCAAAGTAAACACAAAATCAAAAAGCTGATGGGAGTTATAGTCTTCCCCTTATCTGCTAAGAAAAAGAAGAGTATTTTATTCATTTTTTTTTCTTCTTTTACTGTCTTGTCCTTCTGCTGACAAAACCAGGACAGGAAGCAAGGAAATGTCCCCATTGGGACCATGGAGAGCAGTAAAAAACGGACAAAGGTTCTAGTGCTTCTGTTCTATTTAAAGGAGAAGTACAGCCAAAGCTCTTTTGGCAGTACTTCTGTGGATCACAGGAGTGCAGAATGAACTTAAGCCCACTGTAGAATGACGTCACTCAGCTGGTCCAGACTGGGGAAAGATCCCTACTTCAAAGTCGGGTTCCACCAACAGAGTCTGGAGTGGCACCTGGCTCAGCCTCTCAGTGAGCTGCGACAAGACAGTGAGCAGAGACAAGACCAGTCAGACCAAGGAGAGAGAGCAGCAGTGACCGGTCTTTATTACAGGAAGCTCCTGTACAGAGGCAAACTTTCACACTGGATTACAGCACAGATCTGGAAGAAATACACAAAGCACAATCAGATTTGAAGTGGTTATAAAGGCTCAAGGTTTTTTACCTTCATGCATACTATGCATGAAGGTAAAAAACCTTCTTTGTGCAGCACCCCCCCCAGCCCCCTCTAATACTCACCTAAGCCCCCTCTCGATCAGCGATGTGCAGTGGAGTCTCGGCTATGCCAGGACTCCCTCACCTTATTGGATGAAATAGTCAGTCACAGCAAGTGAGCCAATGAGAAGAGTGTGGGGGGAGCCGCGATTCTGTGAGTGAATGGACACATGAAGCAGTGGCTGGGGAGTGCGCCTGCTCGGGTGCTCCCATAGCAAGCTGCTTGCTGTGGAGGCGCCCAACAGGAGGGAGGAGCCAGAGCGCCAGCAGGGAACCTGAGAAGAGGAGGATCCAGGCTGATCTGTGCAATATAGACATTTTTTTTTTAATTTAAGCCTCTAGAATCACTTTAAATATGAACACACATGCCTCTTGTATTTAGATGATATTTGCTGAATCCAGAGTTCAGCTTTAACAGCAAAAATATTATTTGCACTTCCTTGTAATATGATATACATTGAATAATTTTATTAGCTTTGGTTTTCAGGAACAATTTTGTTTCCCAATGTAGGAACTCTTACGTCAGACTGCGCCATCTTTGTACGAACACTTGGGTGACCAGTACCAGTATTCCCATTGACACGGATGAGGAAAGACCTGTTATGCTGAAGGTAAGAGATGATTGCTGGCAGAATTAAAGTATTAGACCACTCAAAGTATATAGTTTAGTGTTTACAGGATTTTGGCAAGTTCAATGTCAAGGAGTTACATTGGTGTGATCCTTGCTCTGTAGTTCTTTCACCTTACTTACAGACCCCACACTCCTGATGCATTCTTCATAAATGACTATACCAAATTCACCAGCGCTTAGTGAATAAACGCTCTGCTGCACACAGCACAGTATGTCTTCAAATAGTTAACGTTTACAACATACAGTGCTCTTAAACATCAAAGTGCACTATCCACATATCAAAAATGATTCAAATAAAGCTAAATATGTGACATTATTAATACCCTGTGCTTGTCTCAATGTTCTTTACAATCAAATCATAATATCATAATAAAAAAAGGATCTTGTGTAAATACTGTGTAATCTTCAGTGCGCCACTCCACCACTGTGCTCCACCACCACTCCACCACATATCATTTTTGATATGTGGATAGTGCTCTTTTATGTTTAAGAGCTCTGTATATTGTAAAAGTTAACTATTCTTCATAAATAAATTCAAATAAAAAAAATCCAACAGGATGAATAGAAACCCCTCACAATGATAGCAGATGGAAGGATCTGCAGATTCAAGTCAAAGGACATCTAGTGGTAAAATTCAGTAATAAATGCAACACAAACACAATATACTTTCTTAGATTGTAAGCTCCAAGGAGCAGGGCCCTCCTAACCCTCTTGTATTGAACTGTATTGTTGCTGTATTGTCTCCTTTATTTTGTAAAGCGCTGAGCAAACTGTTGGCGCTATATAAATCCTGTATTATAAAAATTAGAGATGAGCGAATCGAACTTGGCGAAGTGGAATTCGTTTCGAATATTGGGAAATATTCGATTCGCGCCGAATCCGAAAATTAGCAGACTTCGGATGCGCGAATCGAAATTTTCCAAAAATGGCGGCGACATGTGTGGCGACAGAGCGGGGATCTCTGGGAAGGCGCGCAGACAAGGCACGCTGACCCATAATGCATTCATTCATGACATGTGATCGCATTAGCCAATCAGCAGCCAGCCAGCCAGCACTGTGTAATGGTCGAGCTATAAATTGCGGCCATCTTAGAATTCTCCATTAGCCTCCGGTCATTCAAGAGAGACAGACCTCTCTGTATTAGGGACAGAGTTAGGGCCAAAGAGACTTTAGGGCCACAGAATCGTTACTCAGGGACACAGAATTGTTACTCAGGGACACAGAATTTTTCAGGGACACAGAACTGTTACTCAGGGACACAGAATTGTTACTCAGGGACAGACACAGAATTGTTACTGAGGGACACAGAATTGTTACTGAGGGACACAGAATTGTTACTGAGGGACACAGAATTGTTACTGAGGGACACAGAATTGTTACTCAGGGACAGACACAGAATTGTTACTCAGGGACAGACACAGAATTGTTACTGAGGGACACAGAATTGTTACTGAGGGACACAGAATTGTTACTCAGGGACACAGAATTGTTAATCAGGGACACAGAATTGTTACTCAGGGACACAGAATTGTTACTCAGGGACACAGAACTGTTACTCAGGGACACAGAACTGTTACTCAGGGACACAGAATTGTTACTCAGGGACACAGAACTGTTACTCAGGGACACAGAATTGTTACTCAGGGACAGACACAGAATTGTTACTGAGGGACACAGAATTGTTACTGAGGGACACAGAATTGTTACTGAGGGACACAGAATTGTTACTGAGGGACACAGAATTGTTACTGAGGGACACACACAGAATTGTTACTGAGGGACACAGAATTGTTACTGAGGGACACAGAATTGTTACTGAGGGACACAGAATTGTTACTCAGGGACACAGAATTGTTACTCAGGGACACAGAACTGTTACTCAGGGACACAGAACTGTTACTCAGGGACACAGAACTGTTACTCAGGGACAGACACAGAATTGTTACTGAGGGACACAGAATTGTTACTGAGGGACACAGAATTGTTACTCAGGGACAGACACAGAATTGTTACTGAGGACACAGAATTGTTACTCAGGGACACAGAATTGTTACTCAGGGACACAGAATTGTTACTCAGGGACAGACACAGAATTGTTACTGAGGGACAAAGAATTGTTACTGAGGGACACAGAATTGTTACTCAGGGACAGACACAGAATTTTTACTCAGGGACACAGAATCGTTACTCAGGGACACAGAATCGTTCAATTAAAGAGTATGTCAGACAACACGCAGAGGAGTGGCAGAGGAGGCAATGTTTCAGGAGCGAGCAGACGTGGCAGCAGAGGAAGGGGTCGAGGCAGCACTAGTCGCAGCCAGAGGCCAGTGCTCCCGGTGTCATCCAGCGGTCGTGTCTCCACCGACAACCCTGCCGTCATCGATTGGTTGGCTCGGTCGTCTTCCTCTTCCCAGGTCACCTCTGACACCTACAGCCAACGGTCGGTGGGTACGTCAGACACAACCGTTTAGTTATCATGGCCCGGGAGCAAGCCCACTGAAATCACGTGTCCTCTACCTGCCCCTGTCCTTTGGTGTTCCCTCACCAAGCGAAGTATCGCATGCTGTGGGCTCAGCCCCACTGTACAGTGAGGAAGAGCTAACAGAGGGCGGTCAGGAACGGGGGGAGACACCCGCCTCTTCAGCAGCCAGGCGAAGAAGTACTGGCGAGGAGAGTGGCTCGGTAGCCGGTCTAGAGACAGGTCTGTCTCCTGACCCACACGCAGCCGAGGGGGCTAGTAGTGAGGCGGAGACCCTAATTGATGATGATGAGGCTGATCGCACTTGGCAGCCTCGTCGTCATCAGGCTATTGCTTCCGCATCATCAGGAGAAGAGGGTGCCAGCTTGGCAGCGAGCAAAACAGTCGGTGGGTTGCCCAGGAGGCAGCAGGGTCGCAGCAGTGTCAGTGGAGGCAAACGGCCACGGAGTAGAGCACCAGCTCCACTGCAGCCTACCACCAACGGCCAGTAGTGGTGCCGGTGTGCACGGAGGAAGTAGCAGTCAGCCAGTGAGGAGTAGCGGGGGCAAAGTTTCCTACTCGGCGGTGTGGCAAATTTTTCGTCAAGCCGCCCGAGGAAGTAAACGTAGCCGTATGTCGACTATGTGGCCAGAAAGTCAAGCGTGGCCAGGGGGCCCATGTTGGGACTACAGCGTTGCGTCAGCATATGCAGCGTCGCCATTCGGTGGCCTGGGAAAACCGTGATAAAGATACGGCGGTTCTGCCTGCCCCAGCCCCCGCTCCATCACCCGCTCCGTTACTTGCTCCGTCACCCGACGTCAATCGCCCTCTATCAGCCAGTCAAGGCTCCAACACCTCTGCTGAGGGGAGTTGTCGCTCGTTGGCATCTTCCGCTCGTTCAGATGCTCCTTCTCCTGCTACTCCCTCTTCACGGATTCCGTCAGCAGTCTTTCTTGGAATCCGTTTTCCAAGAGACAACAGTTTGCGAGCACGCACCCGACGGTGCAAAAGCTGAACGTCCTCCTGTCCAAGTTGCTGGTGCTGCAGTCCCTCCCTTTCCAAGTGGTGGACTCAGCACCTTTCCAAGAAATGATGGCTTGTGCCGCGCCGCGGGGAGAGTGCCAAGCCGGCATTTCTTCGCCAAAAAAGGCAGTGCAAGCCCTGCATTCACATGTAGAAAGAGATGGTGGGCCAGTCTTTGAGCATGTCGGTCTCTGCCAAAGTGCACGGCAGCGCCGACGTGTGGAGCTGTAACTACGGTCAGGGACAGTACATGTCATTTACGGCCCACTGGGTGAACGTGGTGCCGGCACAGTCCGCACCAGCAACTTGGACAGGTCACGCCGCTTTTGCCTCCACGTTTGCCACGTCCTTGGTCCAGAAAAGATGTCCGCCTCTACCACCTCTTCTTCCGCCGTGTCCTCAGCCGCCACCCCCGTGCCAAGTCCCATTAACATGACCGGCATATCACATGTGCAGGGCGCAACGGTGTCACGCTGTGCTGCACCTGGTATGCCTTGGCGAACGTAGTCACACAGGGGAGGAACTTCTGAGTGTAATGAACAGAGAAATCGACAGATGGCTGTCTCCGCGCAAACTGAAAATCGGAACCATGTTGACCGACAAACGGAAAGAACATGGTGTCTGCTGCTCTGCGTTGTCAAGGAAGGTTGTGCCCATGCATGGCTCACGTGTTCAATCTGGTTGTCAAGCGGTTCCTAAAATCCACCATCCCACTGCAAGACATCCTTAAAATGTCACGTAAACTTTGCATGCATTTCAGCCATTCCTACACCGCAAAGCACACCCTCCTTGAGCTGCAGCGGCAGAACGGAATTCCACAGCATCGCCTGATCTGCGAGCGTTTGCAACAAGGTGGAATTCAACCCTACATATGTTAGACCGCCCTTTACGAACAGCGAAAGGCCATCACCGATTTCCTGATGTTACAAGCGGATAAAGGTACTACTCCCCTGTGTAACTTAGATGTCAGCCATTGGCAGCTCAATGCGTGACACCTGCCGCTTGCTCAGGTTCTTTGAGGAGGACCACGCTATTCGTGAGTCGGCAGGACTATGGGATGAACGACGTCATTCCTCTGTTGCACGTCCTGGAACAAATGGCTGTTAACAATGGCTGGTCAGGGTGCGGTAGACGTGGCGCACAGATCTCAACGCCACATGACCCCTGTGGGGGGGCATGGACAGGAAGAAGAGGAGGAGGTAGAGGAGGACATTGGTGCTCAGGAATTATTGAGTGAAAATGGGTGGTTTTTCCACTCAGCGGACAGAAGTGGAGGAGCAGGAGCATCTGGTAGAGGAGGAGGAGGAGACAGAGGACCCAGACGCACCGTGGCAGTATGCTGTGGAGATCAGAGGCAGGGAGTCCCTCGCATTCCTTGGCACAAATGGCCCACTAAGCATGCTCGGTTGCTTGCGTTAGCGACAGCCGAATAATAACCATCAGACAGAGGGATGACTTTTGGCTGACTTTTGTTGGACCCTCGCTACCGTTCAAAAATG